AGGTCACTGCAAGCTCTCTTTGCTGAACATACAGCAGGCCCTGTGGTCCCACTTGTTGAACAGACTGACCTCGGAGAAGTCTGGCTCTTTCCTGTTTAATTAAAAAAAAATGATGTAAATTAGTGAGAATTGAATGGCCAGTGAGGTGGAGAGAGCCAAAGTGCATTCTAAGCAGGAAATCCACACTAGTCTGCCAGACGGTGTCGGATTTCACAGGATGAAAAAAAGTAATAATATTATTATTACTATAATAGTAATTTGGAACAATGAAAAAAATGACATTTGGGGCTTTACTCTATAAAATATGATTCACTACCTAGAAGGAACCCTTGTGGTGCTATGAAGTAAGTGTCGGTCTGTTAACCACAAGGTCCGTGGTTCAAACTAACCAGCTGCTCCATGGGAGAAAGACTGTGTCTCAGAAATCCTTGATAGCGGCGATCCTCAACCTGTGCCTGATTCATAACTAGAAAAATTACAGTTATGAAGTAGTAATGAAATTAATTTTATGGTTTGGGAGTCACCACAACATGAGGAACTGTATTAAAGGGTCACGGCATTAGGAAGGTTGAGAACCACTGCTATCTAGGCTTGCTATGAGTCAGAACTGATGTGAGGGTAATGTCTGGTTTTACTACTTATGGAATAAGAGCAAAAATTCTTGACCACAGTTCTTCACTACAGAGTATGAGATTTAGTAATTTTATAATTATAAAGAGAATTAGATTATATGGGATAGTGTATGAGTATCTCAGAAATCATATCCCTTCTTTGTTTTCCTTAAAGAAAAAGAGGGTTAAGACCTTTTTTATCTTTGTCCTACACTACGGAATAATCCAAAAGACTGACATCACTAGGTGATTGAGAATGAGACACGCTGATTATGGAGAATGAGAAGCAATAGTAAAGGTACATAAATGTTGCTGAACCAGCCTACAACTACAAACTGCACAATCCTGATAAATGAAGAATATAGGGAAATAATTCTGACATGTTAACTAAAAAGCAAGATTATTGGGTGTCACTGGGTCAATTTTCGACTCAGTGACCCCATGTGACAAAGTAGAATTATCCCCCCAAAACAAGATATAAATGTAAAATTTTGTTTTAAGTTATAAATGGACTGTTAGTACAACAATGTTAAAATACAGATCAAACCATTGCTGTCAAGCTGACTCCTAATGACCCTATAGGACAGAGTAGAACTGCCCGATAGGGTCTTTGAGGCTGTAATCTCCATACCTGAATTTAGCCAAAGGCTGAGAAGCGATACTGAAGTTGTAATCTCTAAGGAAGCAATCTGCCATATCTTTCTCCTACCAAGTTTCTTGTGGGTTCAAATCAATGACCTATTGGTTGGCAGCCACATGTTTAACCAGTGGGTCACCAGGGTTCCCTAACATAGGTAAAAAGACTAGAAAGAAATTCACCCACATTATCATGATTGTATTAGAACAGCACAAACATGAGAATCTTACTATTGTCTTTGTTCTATGTTCTGTATACACTACAGTAGCAGTGCTACTACTACTACTACCGCTGCTGGCAAGCAATCACAATTCACAGCAACCCTAAAAAACAGTCCAACTGTGCCTTAAGGTTTTCAGGGCTATAAATCTTTACAGGAACAGACAGCTTCATCTTTCTCCCTCAGAACTACGTATGATTAACTATGACGCACCGGTAGTTATGATTAAAGTAAAGCAATATAAAGGATCGCTCATGTATCAAAAACTTTTCTAATAGAATATTTCTGTAAATTCTTGTGCAGCAAAAGCCTGTACGTGGTTAAATTCTTGAATTAAAATAGAACTATGTATATTTTTCAAAACTGTCAAATTGCTACAACACTGACTGAAATGTATCACAATTTCCTTCTGACTGTCAACAGGTAAACTCCTTAATGTGCACATTTGTATTCAAAAGAGTAAATATTACACCTGGTGGCAGTCAGGGAGGCGTAGGACAGCACATCACAAAATCAGGGATACAAACCTACCAACCACTATCTTACCCCCATAAAGACTTACAGCCTCAGAAACCCTATAAAACGGTGGTTCTCAACCTTCCTAATGCTGCGACCCTTTAACACAGTTCCTCATGTTGTGGTGACGCTCAACCATAAAATTATTTTCGTTGCTACTTCATAACTGTAATTTTGCTACTGTTATGAATTGTAATGTAAATATCTAATGTGCAGGATGTATTTTCATTGCTACAAATTGAACATAATTAAAGCATAGTGATTAATCATAAAAACAATCTGTAATTATATATTGTGAAATATTTATTTCAAATTACACATAAATGAAATTTTCTCTTGAAGCCTGGTGTAGGGTGGGTAACAGTCTTGACACCAGGTACTTGTATGCGGGATTATCTGCATGTGAGCAGACCCGCCTGGAGACAGACAGAGGAGTGGTGTCTCAGTTCCTAAGACCATCAGAAACATGTGTTTTCCAATGGTCTTAGGCGACCCCTGTGGAAGGGTCCTTCAACCCCCCCCAAAGGGGTCACGACCCACAAGTTGAGAATCCCTGTTATATAGGGCCCCTATGAGTCGGAATAGACTAGATGGTGATGGGTTATGTATTGCCTAACCTGAGGAACATTTTTATAGTCTCAGGGAGGTTTTGTGTCATTTGGCATAGTGGTTATGGGCTGGGCTGCTAACTCTAAGGTCAGCAGTTCAAAAACACCACCAGCTCCTCAGGAGAAGGAACGGACTTTCTACTTCTATAATCAGTAAGTCTCAGAAACTCATGAGGATGGCTATGAGGCAGCA